CCAAATTGACGATAGCAACTAGAAAGATTAAATGGGAAACTTAGCAGGAACAGTGAGTTTATTATAAAGCAAAGAACAACTCAGAAAAGGAGGCTGAGAACAAAAAGGAGGGAAAAAGAAAAAAAAAAAGATATGGGTGGCAGGAGAACAGGGCACTAAGCCACCCAAGGGAGGGTATTGTTTCTATCTCCACAGGAGAGGGAGAGAGGGACCAGACTTCAACTGGGGCACCAAGACATGAATGCAACACGGGGCCAGCCCCAATTCCAACTATGTGAGCACCCCCACCCAAGAAGAATGCACTTCAGAGGACAGCATTGAAGCTACAGCTCAGGGAGAGGGTGCGTCTGATCAGAGCACACAAGAACAAACAACGAGGGAAGGAGAGAGAGTGGAGCACATCCTGGCCCACCAAGCTCCAAGGACAATATTCCTGCTCAGAGCAGCCAGTGCACAGAGAGGACCATAGGGCCAGTCCCACCACAAGACAGGACATCCTGGGACAACACTGGAGACAGTATGGGAATTGTGCCCGATCTGATCCCAGCACACAGAGATGAAACACTAAGGTGTGCAACAGAGCAGCAAGAGGAGCAAAGCCATGAAGTCCCTGGGGAATACCAAATATAGACTTTGGGGCCAGGACGTGGCACCCCATCAGACTAGACTGGAAAACACTCCTAAAGGTCAACAAACAGACCTGGAACTATTTATAAGCTTTTCTTTTTTGTTGTTGTTGTGGTGGTGGTTTTGTTTTGCTCTGTCTTGTTTTTGTGCTGATTATGGTCTCTGCATGTCTACCTAGAGAAGATAGGTGGGATAAACCATCGGAGGAGAAAACAACGGGACCAGTAGTTCCAGGGAGACACGGGAGAGGGGGAGGCAGGGGAAATGAAGTGGGTGTTAATACACCCAGGGACAAGGGAATAACAACTGATCTAAAATATATGGCCAGAAGGATGTAGAATGCCTGGTGGGACTTGATCAAGGACAATGTAGCCGAGAGGAATTACTGAAATCCAAATGGAGGCTGAACATGATAGTGGGACAAGAGGAAAGTAAAAGGAAATAGAAGAAAGAACTAGGAGGCAAAGGGCACTTACAGAGGTCTAAATACAGGCATGTACATATGTAAATATATTTATATATGATAGGGAACTAGATTATGTGCATATACTTATATGGTAAGTCTTAAGGCAGTAGACAGACATTGAGCCTCTTCTCAAGTACTCTCTCAATGCAAGAACACTTTGTTCTAATAACCTGGCATTCTGTGATGCTCACCTTCCCGACATAATTGCTGAAGACAAATATGGATGCATAAAAAATGTGGTGAAGAAAGCTGATGGTGCCTGGCTATCAAAAGATATAACATCTAGGGTCTTAAAGGCTTGAAAATAAACAAGTGGCCATCTATCTGAGAAGCCACTAAGTCCACATGGAAGAAGCACACCAGCCTGCGTGATCATGAGGTGTTGATGGGATCAAGTAGCAGGTATCAGAGACCCAGAACAAAAAAAATCATATCCTTGTGAACGAGGAGGAGGGCAAAGCGGAGACCCAAAGCTCATATGTAGACAATTGGACATCCCCTTACAGAAGGATCATAAGGAAGAAATGAGTCAGTCAGGGTGCAGTATGGTACTGACGAAACATGCAACTTTCCTCTAGTTCTTTAATGGTTCCTTCACCCACTATTATGACCCCAATTCTACCTTACATATCCAGATAGGCCAGAGCATGTGCATTGGTAGAGATAAGAGCTCCCAACACAGAGAATCCAGGACAGATAAACCCCTCAGGACCAATAATAAGAGTAGTGATACCAGGAGGGTAGGGTGGGAGAAAGGGGGAACCTTCGATCACAGTGATTGACATATAGCTCCCACCCCACCCCAGGGGGAGGAACAACAGAAAAGTAGGTGAAGGGAGACAGTGGACAATGTAAGATATGAAAATAATAATAAGTTATAATTTATCAATGGTTTATGAAGGAGGGAAGGTGGAGGAAATGGGAAAAAATGAGCTGAAACCGAGGGCTGAAGTAGAAAGAAAATATTTTGAAAATGATGATGGCAACGTATGTACAAAAGTGTTTGACACAATGGATGGATGTATGGATTGTGGTAACAGCTGTAAGAGTCCCCAATAAAATGACTTACAATAAAGAAAAAGGAAAAGAAAAGAAGGCTTGAGGTCTGGTGGACCAGCCCTAAAACCCACCCCACTCAGTCCCACTCTGTGAGCTGATGCAGGCCCTCTAGCCAAGTGGGGGGTGGGGGTGGTGTTTTTCTATTAATTACACTCAGAGACGGCCTAAGTCAGTGCTGCTCCAAGAGCCGCTCACACGCGGGTGTGGGTCTGCAAACTTGTTCATAGTTTATTCCTCATACGTCGCGAAAATGAGAATAAGGGGCATGAAACTTAATGGTAACTTAAGTCAGTGGAATCTAAAATTGGGGCTTTGTTTTGTTCCTTTATTTCCTTTTTTCACTCTGGTAATTAATTTTTATTGAAATTTGCAAAAGTGTCATTCTGCAATCAGAAATTCAAAAAGTGAAAAAACAAAACAAACCCATCTAGTTCTTCCCTAGATGTGGTTTAAGATTGTGTACTTTTTCTCTCAAGGGAATAAAAGATGCTTCTCATTAGAGAAATCATTTGTTTCAGGACATAATCCTAATAGATAATAAACAAAATCCTGGACAACTTCAATCTTTTCTCCATTTACGATGATGTTATCTAATGGTCCAGTTGTGAGTATTTTAGTCTTCTTGATATTACGTTGTAATCCGTACTGAAGACTGCAACCCTTGATCTTCACCACCAAGGGCTCCAAGTCCTCCTCACTTTCAGCAAGCAAGCTTGTGTCACCTGCATATTGTAGGTTGTTAAAAAGCCTTCCTCCAATCCTGGTGCCACACTCTTCTTCATATAAACCAGATTTTCTGACTACCTGTTCAGCATACAAATGGGATAAGTAAGGTGAGAGAAAACAATCCCAATGCACACATTTCCTGATTTTAAGCTATGCAGTATTCCCTTGTTCTGTTCCCCCACCTGTCTCTGGATCCATGTACAAGTTTCACAGGAGCACAAGGAAATGTTCTGGAATCCCCATTCTCCTCATGGGTGTTCGTGGTTTGTTATGATCTACTTGGCATAGTCAAATAAAGCACAAGTAAACATCTTTCTAATATTCTCTGCTTTGAGCCAAGATTTATCTGACATCAGCAATGATATCTCTTGTTCCATATCCTCTTCTGAATCTGGCCGGCCTGAACCTCTGGCAGCTCCCTGTTGATGTAATGCTGCAACCATTGTTGGATGACCTTCAGGGGAAAAAAATACTCACACGTGATATCAATGATACGGTTCTATAATTTGAGCATTCTGTTGGGTCACCTTTCTTTAGAATGGGTACAAATATGGATCTCTTCCTGTCAGTCGGCCAAGGAGCTGTCTCCCAAATTTCCTGGCATAGACAAGTAAGTGCTTCCAGTGCTTCAATATCATTGATATCACATGCAAGTAAAATCTTGCTAAAGATCACCAGTCAGGACCCAAGAGAGAAGCGCCACACACACTTGGG